TACAGAATTTCATCTCCTGTTCCAATGCATCTCAAAATCCTTCTTTATACATGACCTGTACATCCTACAGAACCAAGAGCTAAATAAACTTCTTCTATTCATAGATTACAGAGTATGCACTGTTCTAACAGCAGAAAGCAGATTCTTACACACCGGGATGATTGTGTTTATCTTGTAGAACTTTTGTGAGAATTAAATGAGAGGATGCCGTCAAAGACCAACCGACACAGAGCCTAGCACAGACTCCCAAGGGGGAACTACTAGTCTACATTAGGTTATAGGTAAACAGACCTACTTTATTAGTATTTAACATCTTTTAGAAATTTATTTTCTACCTAACCAATAGTAACTTTTTAAGTAAAGACAATAATGCAAAATAAAACATAATTCTCAGTGAGTATTAATGTCTGCATATCCATTTAGAAAACATTTTGAAACTGGGGATATTTTATTTTTGTTCAAATAGGAGTGCTTCATTTAAATTTTCTACTGAAATAAGCTTATAATTAACATCTATTTTGAGAAGCAATGCCATTTTAGCTATTACATATGTTCTTTGATAACAAAGAAGAGAGTCATTCTTGGGACAGTGTTTCAGCACAGACTTCCATAGTATAAAAATAATTATGATTTATCAGGGAAGATCTAACTATTGAAATTTTTATTCATTAAAATCTCTGACAAAACCCAGTAATACTTGATGAAAATACACATGTAAAAGGATATAATGTAACGTCATTGAGAAATGGGCTGAAATGATGACTCAGTGGGTAGAGGACTTGCCACACAACCATGAGGGCCTGAGTCTAGATGCCCAGTACCCATGTCAAAAGCTGGATGTGGGCCTTTGCATAGGTTTCCAGCTCAAGGAGAACAGCAGAGACCAGTGGATCCCATGGGCTCACTGGCCAGGTAGCCTAACCAAATTGGTAAACTCTGGGCTCAATGAAGAGACCCTGGAGGAGAGCAATTGAGAAAAAAAACCCAGTTTTGACTTTTGGGCTTCAAATGCACATACGTGTGTACTTACATGCACATGTACATACACACTAAGAAATAATCACATGAAGAGTTTTCATCTGAAATGATGGGGAATCTTTAAGTCAGTAAATTTGCATTTTATATCTCACATTAGATGATGGATTTGAGCAGGTTATTTAATATCCATGAACTTTAATTTCTGCCCCCCTTGGGGGGTTTGTGGAGCTGATAGCAAATAGCAAGAGTGATTCCAGGTCATTTATCTGTCTCCCAGAAAGTGAGTAAGCACATGCCACAGATATAGATAGTATGGAACTATCACGTATCACCAAACTAGTCAGGGCTTTCACAAGATACTCAATTACTTCTCAACCCTTTGTGTCTTAGGTTTCATGCCCATGCAGAATAGCTAAATTCCCATCATCACTAACACGTCATAGTCAAGGACACCTCTGGGTTTGAAATTAATAGATATGTATGTGTTTTATTTGCTATTCCATGTGATTTTAAAGCATAGAAGCACAGGTAACCACTAAAATAAGTACTCCTAGAATAAATACAAATATCAGCGAGGCGTGAGTTTGTGGCTCAATGCAGTTTCTGCATTAGACAATTGCAATCACTCAAGTGGTATAACTTTGAAGGGACAGATAGCTCACATTGCAATAATGCAGAGAGCATCCTGCACAAGGACAGAAAGAGCTCTATAGTTCTTGTAGTATTTTCTTATCCTATTCCCATAGCAACCACGGAGCGAGCAACAGTTAGTCCTCTAGTGCAGTTTTAAATACGAGTTCCTCAAAGACCCGTGTTGCTTAAAGCCTTGGGCCTCGGCCTCTGACAATATTAGAAGTGGTAGAAACTTTAGGAAATGGAGGCCTGTGGGAAGTCTTCTGGTCTTTAGGGAGATGCCATTAAAGGAGCTGTGGGGACCTCAGCTGCTGCTTCTTTCTGGCTTTGCTTCCCCACTGGGAGCAAACAACTTACCATCTGCTATGACTTCCTGCCTCACTGAGGGCCCCGAGCTAGCAATGAAGACAATCGATCATGTTCTGAGCCCTCCAACTCTGGACCCAGTCAAGTCTTTCCTCTCTTCAAATCTGACTACCTCAGGTATTTCTTACAGTAACAGAAAGTTGACTAATACATCCTCATTTACTTTATGAACGTGAAACTAATGAAAGCCAAATAAAACTAAGGAAGTTATAACTAAGAAATCAAGGAGGTGGTTCTAAAATCTGAATATTTTATGTATTTGTTCAGTTTTCTTTGCTTGTGCATGGGGGTGGGGTCCCATGGTGGGCTTGTGGAGGCAGAGGACAACTTGCAGGAGTTGGCTATCTCCTTCCATGTGCAGCTCAGGGAATGAGCTCAAGTTGTCACGCTTGGTGCAAGTGTCCTTACATGATGAGCCATCCAGTGGCCCCTAAACTCTGAGTATTGCAATTGTGCATTCTCTCAACAAAAAAGGAAGCAAACAAGTGAATTATGGGGGGTTGACATGGTTTATTGTGTGATTATTGCCACTGAGGCACTATCAGCAGAGTAAAGGATCATGCATGGCTCCAACTTGCAAGAAGCCAATGGGCTAGTAGAATCGATTATGCATATTACTTATACAGACCAAAGGGCCATGAAAATGTTCAGGAAAAGTGTTCTGGGAGTAAGTTTCATGTTCCATAATGTTAATCCTACCCTAATGTTCTGTCCAGTGCTGTAATCTATATAACTGGTCATCTTCAGAAATACTTTTCTTCCTTCCAGTCATTGGAATCAAGTTCAGCATGAAACAGTGTCCTTTTGAACATCAACTGGAAAGTTCTACACTAATGTCACAAACAACACACTTGAAGAAGAGTCAATGATAGAAGAAAAGTCTGTGAGTGAAAGTGCAAAGACTCACTGAGTCCATTTTATGCCTAGTATGCTATGCCAATGAGCGTCAGCAAGAAGCACTGGGAATTCATGCTTTGCCTGATAGTTTTTGAACACAGCAGGCATTATCTGTGAGTTGTTAACAATGCTCGATTCAGTAGTTTACTGTCACATATATGTAGGGAGAAATGCACACTGCCTTTGCAGTCTTGAAAAATTGGAGATAATAGAATTTTATCCATAGTATTTTCACCTATGAAAGCATAATTTAAAAAAATTGACTCAACTGAAAAATCTGGTTTGATCAGGAAACTATTTGTTTATATTTTTCTGTGGTAAGACACTTCATTATTACTCTGAATTGGCTACCTATCACATGTCAAGGTGTGGGAATTACATATTATCTTCAGCATCATCCCAGAGAGTAATAGATAGTTGTTTTCTTTGCAGAAAGGCAATCAGTTTGCATCCATTGTATCTAATTTTAGCCATTTAAACTGTGCATTTGTACTTAAAAATTGTAATAATAAAACCTGAGAATAATATGATGATTATTATAGTATAAAATGGAAGATACTATACAATGAAATGTAGGTAATTCTCAATCTAGTATTGTAGCCAAGACCTTGTCTTGCTAAACAAACAGTTGACCAATAAACTATAAACTTAGCCTCCACAGTTTTTTAAGCCAGGCTCAAGCACTTGTGTTTAGAAGCGTGGTTTCCTCCTTCAGCCTCAGATCCCTCTCTGGAAAATGGGCTTCATAACGTTTATCCTGGCTGTAAGGTTTACTGCTAACTCATAGGTCATTCTGCCCAGTAGTTTAGATGCCAGGACTGAAAACTGTGTATTCATGTTCTGTTGCTCCTTCCTCACAAGGACTTCCCATGGCATTCTATTCCAACTATTGTTTTCGCATAGCATTTAGAGAGGCAGTGTGAGCCAGGGCCTGGTCATGCAAAGTCTGGATTCTACCTATTGGTACACCCCACCCCAAGCCAATCTTATACAATGGGAGCTCTGAATAGATACGAGACCCTTTCCTCCACAAGTTTGACCGATTCCAACTTGGAATGTCTTTTTTATGAAGCTATCGTCTGAACAAGAATGTTGGGGGTTGGAGTATGTGTGGGTACTGCCAAGGGCTAGAGAAGTTTGCCCTCTGAAGCTTTTTCAACACCCCCCAGGGTGCTTCCCAAATTTATGTTGACTTTCCAGGCTTTTCAAAGAACCTCGCGAATCCTTAACATAGTTAAGATTCTGTTTTATAATTGAAACAACAAACAGAAAATGTTTTCAGCCATTGGCTAGGGGAGAGCGAAAGAAAAGGAATTTAAGATTCAGTTATTAACTCGCTACCCTGATAATCAGGCTTGGTTGCTTTGGATTGGGTTTGGGGGGTAAAGCCCTTTATGATCCTAGAACCGCACAGAGAACTGCGCAGGAAGCCGCGACACAGAATCCAAGCACGCGGTGTAGATTGGTGCTGGGTCACCTCTCTCAGGGTCACAGGTCCTGACAACCCCCAGGAGCCCGATTTAAAGTGGACCCTGAGATCTGAGGGGTGGCAGGCAGATCCAACAAGCTGGACAGTAGAGGGCTGCCCTCGCTGGTGGAGAGACATACTTCGCGGTATCCCCAGATGAAGTACAATACAAGATTCGCAAAAATGCATGTCCTCCAAACCATTTTCTGGGGACGTTCTCAGCCAAGTTCCCTGGGGTGAGATGTGTGGGCTCCCGGGATGGGAAGTTGGTGAACTTTCCGAGTGAGCGAGCAAGCCAGGGTAAATAGTAGGGTCACAACGAACTAGAGCGATGTGGGGCAGAGCTGGTGGCTTCCCAGAGAGCCGTCCTCCGGAGCCTTGCCCGCTATCATGCGCGGACGGCGCTCACTTCCCCAGATGCCCGGTGGTTTGCCAGCGAGAACCCACGCGGGCGACGGCAAGGGCGAGGCAGGCGGGCTGGGGAGAGGCGCACGCGGAGGGCGGCGGCCGGACTCAGCGCTCGCCTCGGGCGGCTCCTCACTGCATCAACCTGCGGGCTTCGGCTTGGCCGCCGGGCCCCTCCCACCGCACCCCCACCCCCGCCGTCCGCCCGCCCCGGGGACCGGGTTCCAGTTGGTGCGGAGCAGCCGCGAGCTGAGCTCCCGCCCGGGACCGCAGCGGCCGGCGACGTCGCGGCCACCTCCGCTGCACCCTCACTTCTGCCACTTGGGAGCAGGCATCCACTCCTTCCCTGTCTCCCTTTGTCCGGTCCCCCCATCCGCCCCCTCCCCCATCTCTTCTCCCACCCCTTGTCCTGCGGACCCCTGTCCCCGTCCCCGACCCCGTCCCTCTTCCTGTGTTCCTGCTCCTGTGCCTCTAGCCAGCTGGCTGCGCACACCTCGGGCGATCGGCACCCGTGCTTTCTGAGGGTGATCTGTACCCGGTGCTCCCCGCTCTCTCCTTCAGCTCCATCTCACCGCGCGCCTGGCCTCTTGCTCGCCGGCGGCGCCCTGCTCCCATCCCGAGTGGGTTGCGCGCCGGGCCGCCGCCTGGTCATGTCAGGATGGAGATCCGGCAGCACGAGTGGCTCTCGGCCTCCCCCCACGAGGGCTTCGAGCAGATGAGGTTGAAAAGCCGCCCCAAAGAACCCTCGCCCAGCCTGACCCGAGTGGGCGCGAACTTCTACAGCAGTGTCAAGCAGCAGGACTACAGCGCCAGCGTCTGGCTCCGGAGAAAAGATAAGCTGGAACATGTAAGGACCACTGGTTTCCGGGGGGCTAAGTGGTCGGAGTATGCAGCGCTAGGAGTGTAGGGACTCTAGTGGGACCCCAACGGGCGGCCCGCCCCCGGGACCAGGTTGCCTGTATCCTCTGTCGACCCTGCACATTTTTGCTTAATGACTCAATTGCGTGGAGAAAAGAAAGGTTCGCTTTCAGGTTACCCCAGTTCGAGCATCCTGGGGGACCTCCTGAATAGTTCTTCACTGTAGGGTTCATGTACAGTGTGTTATTGGGGTACCTGTGAGAAGAGTGGTTGATTGCAAGGGACCCGGCTTTGCACAAAGAGGGGATCAGTGGGATGTTTACCTGGTTCTTTGGAGCCATTTCACTCAGAGCAGAACTACAAAAACGCTGCAATAAAGTTGTCGCTGGTGATCCAGAGCTTTTGGCCGTGTATGATGGGAAGCTAGCAGGAGTTTTTAGGGAGCTTTCCCACCTAAACCCAAATGGAGAGCGATTCTGCACTGAGAACGGACAAGTCAAAGGTCCCCAGCTATCTGCCACTTATCGGCAAAGTGGGACCCAGCAGATGTGCATTCCCCTTTCCCTTTCTTTCCTGGGTGAGGACTTGTGTCTTTGGCTCAAGCGTTGAGTCCCTAAGACTGGCCATTCTAGAAAGAAGAAAAGTCCTTCCACAAGGATCTTTTGGGAATCCACACTTAAAAATCTGGCCCATCACTATGTCCTTAAGCAAATGTTGAAATTAAGAGTGTGCCAGCAGCAGGAAGAGAACTGCTGCTTACTCTTACAGACCTGCAGAATCCAAACTGAGTCTGTAATGGAATGTGGAAGTTTCCTCATATTTGGGTCATTATGTAAAAAAAAAAAAAACAGGAAACTCGAGTATGTCAGCACCGTGCCCACCCGAATCCCATCTGGCCCCCAAAGCCTTCCCTGAGCGTTGCCTCACCAACAGTGTCCCTGGAAAGAAGAGTGGAGGTGGGTATTTCTGTTAGAAGCCAAAAGGACAGCCCGTGTCTTTTTTGAGGACCTGATTAAGTCACCCAAATGACTAATTCTAAAGCCCTTATTTAAAGCTCCTGGTTGAGTTGAGTAACAGGCTCTGTTTGGTGTGGAGAGAGTCAAAAGGATGTCCTGGAGGGGAGGCTGTTGAAGGGATTGCAAGGGCTATTGTGCATGTTGGCTGTTTGAAAGTAACAGCGATACCTGTTTAAAAATGTCCACTCCAGAATGATGCTTGAAGGGATCAGTAATGGAAAAGATAGATGGATGGATGGATGGATGGATGGATAGATAGATAGATAGATAGATAGATAGATAGATAGATAGATAGATAGATAGATAGAAGCAGCATCTCCACTTAGTTCTGGATGCTCATGAGAAAACTGGTCCCAGCCTCAGGCCTCAGAGTGGTGATAGAACATGCTTCATTTTCATTTCATCATAACTGTGTGCATTTGCAGTGGTTGCTTTAGGCTGGTCCATTTCTTTTGTACTTTTACCGAGAATCAATAGTGCAACCTCCTGTGAGTATGTCATCCCGAGTCCCAGCTTCTGCTGCATGCATTATACGGAAATGCTCTCCCACTTTTTGATTTGCGTTGGAAGTATTCAGGCTACCTGGTGGGCCACAGTGGCTTTACCTGTCTGCTTTGAGTGTGGGATGCTCAGCTCTCCTGAGGATGATAGATGAAGGGAAGGTCTGGTTATGCTTGCAAGTATGTGAGCTTCTGTACTTTCCCTCACTCAGGTGCCCTAAAGAGCATTGCATTCATTAAAAAAAATCATGTGCCCCATTTGATGTTTAAATCAGAGCCTCATTTCTTTGCTTTTAAAACTATGTTTATATGAGATGTGGGTTCTAGCTTATATATTTACCTTGAATTAGAAACAGAGCTTTTGTTTCAAATGGTTTTAGGTTTATTCTCTGGCCCCTTTGAAATACTAACATCCTAATGAATTAGTGTTTATGAATATGTTATTAAAAGTTAAAGTCATAGACAGATACAAATTGTATTTGAATTCAAGAACTCAGTAGTTATATGTCCTGTTTTGTATGCTGTGATGTTTACCCGGATTGCTGCTAATTTATAATTCAGTATGGAGATTTAAAAATGTAACCTGGCATGTAGTTGCTGCATAAATCCTGAGAATATCGTATTAAGTTCATTACAAACAGCACACAGAAGCTATGGTGGCACCTTCTAGTTTAGATGTTGCAGGGAGCAAGTTGTGGGTGTCGTAGAAAGTCAAGGGTGACTTAAAAACCACTCCTCTACTTTGTCTAATCAAAAAGGATGGCCACCGTTTTTATTATGTTGAAATAAATGAAGAAATAATTATGATGGAGATCATATGTCTGAAAACAGCTTATTCGGTTGTTTGGTGCTTTGAACGCCAATTTAAATATTAAGGGAATAAATAAATTATGACTTCAAATGACACCTACATTTAGTCATCACAAGTAATGGAATTCCCCGAGATGGAATGTGGCAGTATGTGGATTCTAGCCAGGCTTTAGAGGCACAGCTTAATCTGAAAGTCAATAACACGGTGTAAAGTGACAGCTAAATAATATATTTCTACCCACTTTGCTTAAAGTGAGAGTAATTTATCTCTTACTTTGGCTGAAACACATCAGATGGGTCTCAGGCTATGCAAAAAGAAAGTGACATGAGATGTATTGGAATTCATCCAATTGATCTTAAACTTGACTCCTATCATTAGTTAGCTGATACTTAAAATGAAGATTTGTAAGTATATAAACAGCTGTGATGGTGCATGCCTATAATCCCAGCACTGGGGTGCTGAAGCAGGGACAGCCTGGGCCAATTGGTGGGTCCTGAATCAATGAGAGCCACAGAGTGAGAATAAATACATAGCCAGACATAGTGTCATGTGCCTGTAATCCCAGCCTTCAGGATGCTGAAACAACGGGATCTGTAGTCCAAAGCCAGTCTGGGCTGCCTCAAAAAACTGACTTAACCAACTGAAAGACAGGCACATATGTAGGGAATTTTCTCAATCCTAAATCACAATTAGAATGTGCAAGAAGGTAATGTTCTATACCCTGAACTCTGAACTTCTAACTCAGCTTGTGCATTTGAGGAAAGTGAATACTCGTGAATCTCTCTTGGTGCTTAGAGCAGTGGTCCTCAGCCTTCCTAATGTTGTGACCCTTTGATACAGTTTCTTGTGTTGTGGTGACCCCCCAACCATAACATTATTTTGTTACTATATCATAACTGTAATTTTGCTACTGTTATGAATCATAATATAAATATCTGATATTTAGGATATCTGATATGAGACCCCCAAAGGAGTCACGACCCACAGGTTGAGAACCACTGGTTTAAAATCCTTTGCATCCTGTTCTGTTCTAGAATTCCTGTGGCTTGAGGGAATGGTGGGCTTGTAAAGCAATATCAATCTTACTTGTTGTATGATTCTAGTATTTTCTTGAGGGATAATATAAAGGATTGTAGTTCAGTAAAGCAATCTGGGCAGGAGACGCCTCTAGAATCTGCCTAGGGTCCCATTGAAGATCTTGATCATCTCAGAGGACAGTCTGACATTTGGTGTCATTGGTACTGTATGCTGTTACTGAACTTTTTGCTTTATTTTTCTATTGAAAAGAGGGTGAAATAAGTCTGTGCTATCCACTTTTCACTTTCATGCCAGTTGTGTGAGTTTCTAGGCTACTTGAATCGGGGAGAAGCCTTGCTTTCTTCCCTGTGCAATCCACCGGGTCTTGCTAAAGTGGTTGTAAGTAAAGGCTCTAGTTAGAATTCGGATTTTCATTTTCAGTAAATGAGGCAACTGCAGCTGAAGAGTTTAAAGTAAGTAGGGTATACAATTATATTTAAAGGTCATGGTTTTGCAATGGTGATTAAATGGGATATTCTCTGTCTATATCTCAGGAACAAATATCCTAAAATGTATCAGGCAGACGTTTTTTATCACCCTCCTCATCTGCACAAGCTGGTAGGGATTCTCCTCCTCAGAGCCTTCCTGGTTGATGAAAGGAAAAGCCAATCCTAGTGCTCATTGCCCCTATTGCCATGGCAGCTTACAGGTTCTAGAGACAGCTCCCGAAGCTTCTACCCACAAGTGATGCATCTGTAAAGCCAATATCTATTAGCCAAAAAAAGTTTCATAGCCAAGGTTCACTTGAACAGGATGGGAAAGAGGACCCAACTAAAACTCAGAGATGAGAGAAATACATCTTTTCCCGTAGATGTATAGCACTATAGAATGTAAAGTACTCAGTGTAACGTTAGGACTGTATTAGATGACCAATAATGCACTTAAGGCAAAATGACTTCTCCAGTCTTCCCTTACCACTGCCTAAGCGCCTGCACTCCTCCCACGTTTCACATTAACATCAGCTTCCCTGTGTCCTAGACCCTGTGTCCTAGACCCAAACATATGGACCTTTGGACCATCAAGATATTTCCAGTCTTTGGTTTTCCAGGAGTTTGACTCTCCCTGGACAGTGGCTCTTTGCTTAGCCTCTGCGTGGTCATTCTCACCCGATTTCTTTGTTTATCAATGATCTCTGCTGGCCAATGCAAGCAAAGCCAGCTCATTATAGATATCTCGCTCCCTTGCTTCCTTCTTGGCTTGTGCCGATGAGATGAAGTTGCAAAATTGGTCAGGGAATCTCTTCAAACTGTAAGAAGAAATATAGAGTAGAGATGGGTAAAGAATAAATGATGGGAGGCTGGAAGGATGGCTCTGTTGGTAGAGTACTTCCTGCACAAACATGAGGACCCAAGTTTGTGTCTCAAGCATCCACATAAAAGCTCAGAGCTGCAGTATGTGTCTGTAACTCCAGAGCAGAGATAGATGGAGATAGGCAGATTCTTGGAACTCACTGGCCAGCCAGTCTAGTGTACCATGTTCACTAAATGTCTCTGTCTCAAAAAGCAGAGACCCACAGCTAAGCACTGAGCCGGACTCCTGGAATCCAGTTGTTAAGAGAGGGAGGAGTGATGAGCAAAGGGGTTAA